GTTTTCGCCCCCCCCCCCCCCCCCCTGCCACGCTGTGACGATTGAGAGGAGACCAGTTCGGAGTCGCTCATCTCTCGCGAGTTGCATTGTGTGTGCTATTCTTCGAACAAGGAACGTGTACAGTATATTCACGAGAGCAGGGTGCGCACCCGCGGACCCGACCCGGTCGCGGTCCCCGACCCCGTCCCCCGCCACCCGCCACACGCCCGACCGGCGGCCACGCGCCAGTCGCCACAACGCCAGCTCGCCAGAGCCCAGACGGCTCAGACCACAGACTGGGGCACAGACGTGCAGACCCCCCCCCCCCCCCCTGGCCCACACCCCACACCGGTCACCGCACACGCGTCACGCCCCCCAGCCCCACAATAGGTCAATACAGGTGGGAGTGTGGCGGCCGGTGCGGGCCGTGGCGATTCACCTTCGATACATGCACAGAAGTACAGGTACCTTTGCTTACTTGGGAGAAAGGGGAGGTTGAGGTGTGTTCTCTAGGCCCCTAAGCGCCCGCTACGTACGCCCTACGCGCGGCGTGAGCGCTCGGTCGGAAGCGAGCTTTCCTGTGTTATAGTGCCAGAGTGCGCGCCAGTCCCGTGCCTAGTGTTGTGAGAGCGAGTTTATAGTACTCTTAACACTTGGAAAGTTGGAATGCGGTCGGCAACCTCACATCCAGGGCTGCGGGGGAGCTAAGAAGCGCACCCAGCGGGCCGGATGCTCGGCATCGGGCATCGGGCTAGAGACCTGACCCTGGGGGGTGCGCGGTCACAGCTCAGGGCTATAACACAGTCAAAGAAAGAAAGAAGACAGCCCAAGGGAGGGATGGGAGGTCATTACTCAGTGCTCGCCTTGTGAAACGTTCTTTTTTGCGCGTATAATTCTTCCAAGCTGGAGAGGGGGCAGGGTGGTGGGCGGCGACCGCCGCATACCGTCCTACCTCCTACGGCGGGGACTATCGATACGCCAGAGAGGACAAGGACGTCGACGTGCAGCTCTGTTGCTGTTCGAATCATTCGGTGGGTTGGAAGGGGGTCCGCGAGATCCTCTGGAAGGCGGCGGACGTGCTACAGAACAAGCTGACGCGGGCCCACAGTACCTCAACGAGGTGACTTGTCGGTGACTTGGACCACCAAGAATTGGCTGGGGCTGCAGAAGCAGCGTATCTCGGTCGTTCTTCACACGGCAATCGCAGAGCAGATTGTGAATGAGCTTTTGCCTGCGGCGAGACGGAGCTAAGTGCCTCGCCGCCCTCGCGGGAGTCGCTTTTTAGGCGGCTCCAGTGGTGTACCTGTGTTAGTGCCAGTGTGGCGCCAGTCCCGTGCCCAAAGAAAGAAAGAAAACGGACAACCAGTGTCGTGCGAGGGAGCGGTCAAATTCTTTTTTGGAAAAGAGGCCGCCGGCGGGCACTTCCGCTTGGGCTCGGCTGATATGTCAGGCTGCGTCTTGTGCTGGGCGTATGGCGCCGTGATCTACTTCGCTTTGTTGTACTGGTTGGTGTCGTACGGCGAGGCGTGGGCGAACAGCCTCTGCGTCGCCGTGCATCGCCGTGTCGTTTCTCTCCTTCCCGGCAAGCCCTTCCAACGCACCGTGCGTGCGGGCAAGGTGTAACACCCATGCTCTAGTCACGGCCGCGGGTGCCCGCGACGACTCATTTGGGCCGTTGGAGGGCACAAAAATCAACGCCGTGACCCGCAACAGAGTTGGTGGCACTCGGAGTGGCAAAAGCTGTGCTGGTGGCGCAAAGCTGCCATCCGCGGCGTGATGATACTGCACTGCACGGTCCGACGGCGCAGACCACTGACCAGCCCGGCACGACACATGACATGCAGCGCACACGCGGGCTGTGTCACACGGGTTCCAGCCAGGAAGCAGGAATCTGGACTCCTCGTTGCAGCGGGGCGCAGTGGGCCTGGGCGCGCACCTGAGGCCTAGAGCGCTCAACAGTGGAACAGACATTCAGACAACACGGCTCAGCCTCAGGACCAGGGTTCTAGAAGTCGATGGGATGCGCGACGGCTTGTCGACTCGTCCCGGTGCGATGAACCACAGCCCAAATCTAGCCACGAAATTTGTCTCTGGGGGGGCGCGGGGGCCCCCGGAGGCACCGTGCGCCGCGCCGCAGTGCGGAAACGCAAACGGGGCTCCGGCTCTATTAGTCTCTACTAGCACCGACTTCCCGAATGAGCACGGTTAATCAGAGGGCAGATTCGGAGAGATCTCGAGGAGTACATACAGATAGACCCTCCAATTATCAGAAAACTCCGACCTGATCGGTCGTACTGACCGCCGACAGATCACTCCAGACAGCAGACAGGCCGACGTCTGCACGCGGCCGGCCGGGCGAGAGGCTTGACACGATCCGACCCTGCGACCCTGACGCTGCTGCTCTAGCTATCAGACAACTGCTGACTGCTGCCACAATGTGCGACCTGTGCTGGCCCACTTGGCGGCCTTCCCGGTCGCAGTGGTGAGGCGCAAGTTCAGAGCTGTCGATGGCGCGATGCCGCGCACTGGTCCCACATTGGTGACACGAGACCACCACGTTTGCCGGTCCAAGAGAGAGGCACCGGCGCTGTCCTGAGAAGGTGCGTGGTCCCTCTTGACTGCCCATGCGCGCGAGGCTGTGTAGGCATAGCCTGAGTCGAGAGTGCCAGCAGCCAATCCGAGGCGACGCGCATTGCGCCAGAAGCGTGCACACGATGGAAGGACACCTTCCTACTGACCGTACGATTAGGTCGTCACTGAATGCTTGTGATACTAAGGCCGCGAGCTATTCAGGTGATCAATTGTGCAGCATCTGGCACGGTCAGCAGCTGCTCGCCGAAACGCGAAAGGATGTCGCAAGGCGTGATAGCGCATGGCCGCAAGTACGCCGAATTCCCATGAAAACAAGTAAAAATCGCCGAAAAAGCAAAAAACCCGAAAAATCGGCGCCTGCGGCGGGCCATGCCCCCCGCCCCCCCCCCTGGACACCCTCGCTGTGGGGCCCCCGCGCGCCGGCGCGCCGGCCCAGAGAAAATTGTATAAGTAATAATATAGTAATAAGTATGTGTGTAAGTACTCTGACGTCGTATCATGAACCATGCGCGTGCGCCGTGTAAACCGAGAACAATCATGCCGCCCCGCGTCTCAGTGTCTCTCAGTGCCTCAGTCACATACCCTCTTTCCGCCGTCGCCGTGCTGGTTGAATCCCACCACCGCGTGTCGCCCCGTGATGGCGCACACGCAGCACATCCACAGCGGCAGTGAGACGTAGTTGAGGCTCATCCAGAGCATCACCGGCCGCCACTCGTCGTCGTCGAGCGAGAGCATCTTCTGGCACTGCAGCCCGTGGCGGATGCCAAACAGGAATGGCAGGTCGTACTCGCCGAACAGGGGCGAGGCCGGGTCTGCCTGTCCGGTGACCACCTTCTCGCGGTAGAGGCGCCAGTACATGGGCACGTCCTCGACGGCGTTGTACGTGACGAGGACGGCGGCGAGGGCGAGGGCGAGCATGCGGCAGGAGACGAGGATGGAGGGCCGCTCGTACGGGTCGGTCCGGCTGTACGCCACCCACTTGCAGCGCAGCGTGCTCGCCTGGCGCGCGAGGCGGCGGCGCCGGGTGAGTCGCCGCGCCCCCTGGCATGCGTGGCCGCCGCCGCTTTCAGAGGGGCGGCGCGCACAAAGAAGAGGGAGAACATGGCGAGCCATATGGAGTTTTCGACGGCAAAGAAGCCGTAGTGCCGCTTGATAACTCCGACGTCGCTCACCACCTCGGCACTCGCGACGAGGAGGACGAGCAGCGGCTTCAGCCAGGCGTCGCGGCCCCAGATGGCGTTCGGGATCATGCACTCGGTGACAAAGACGTACTCGCCGACGCTGCGCGGGACCGGCGCCGGGGTGGGCGGTCCGCGCGGCGCGGGCGGCGCGGGGAGCCTGGCCGCGGCGGAGGGGGCGCGCCGCTGGCGGGGGGCGGTGCGGAAGGCGCCTCGCGACCAGCCGCCCCATCAGCGGGCTCAGCGCCGCCTCGACGAGGAAGGCGCTGTGCGGGGAGGAGGCCTCGTCGAGGCGCCTGCGCGGCCAGACGTCCATGCACAGCCGCTCGACGGTGCAGTGCTGCCAGAGCGAGCGGTAGAGGTAGCACGCGCAGACGAGGACGCATGGCCCCCAAGGGCAGTGCCACGCGTCGTCCGGCATCGCGTACTGCCTCGCGTCGCACGCGGGAGGAGAGCGAGGCAGCTTGCGCTCGGAGCAGCACGCGGAGCCCTGCGCGACGCCCCAGATGCAGCGGCCCAGCGTCGAGCCCAGCCAACTGTCGGCGGGCCGGCCCTTGACCTCCTCGGTCACCCAGCTCCAGAGCGAGTAGAGCAGCAGCGCGGCGTTGGTGGCGGTCAGCGAGAGCCACCAGAAGCGCGGCGACGCCAGGCCGCTCTCCTCGTGGAAGAGGAGCACGGCGAGGGCGGCGAGGCCAAAGGCGAAGGCGACGCACACGATGAAGAGCACGCACGAGCGGAAGAGGCTGTACTCCGCCACGAGCGGGTGGTCGTGCGGGTGGCGCAGCTGCTGTTGCGCGGAGGAGCTCGTGGGGCGGAGCTGCGGAGGGACCTGGCTCGCCTTGAGCTCGGCGAGGACGGCCTGAGTTCCTTCGTGCAGCGCGTTGACCCGGGAGCGCTTCTTGTGGAACATTGGGCGTTTGGGCTGGCCGGCAGCAGG